AGTAATCAATGCAAAGTGATAAACTTAAGTATTTTAAAGAAAACGTTTTAATACAATACAAAAAGTAAATTTAGTTGTTTATTTATTCCGTCTTTTTTTAAATAATATCGATGAATGTGTATTTTTATTTTTCGCTTTTTTTATTTGTGATATATTCTTCTCCTTACTTTTTCTTGTATTTCAGTAGAATAAAAATGACAACTAAAACTTTAAGTGAAGAAAAATCTTCGTCAAACTATTATACCGGTAATCAAACAATTTAAATAGTGGAATAAATGTTGCAATTTGATAGACTAATTAATGTTTTGAATGCAAAAAGTAGCCTACTTTATATTTCTATATGAAGGAGTTGATTTTGTTAAGAACTATGATGAAAGCCTCGTAATTAAATCATATTGTAGTGAACATAAACACAAGTGGGGACAATCGAATGTAGTTGATAAAAAATTACAGAGCATTTCACTAAAATCTGAGAACTATATAGTAAATAGTTAATTTGCAAAATATCATCCCATAGTATTTAATTTGACTCTTCCTTTGCAAATATCAGTTATTCATCTCAAATTTCATTGTTCATGCATTTTCATGCCAATTGCGTTCCGTTGCCGTTCTTTTCTTCTCGATCTTCTACTAAAATACCTTCTATGTCCGACCACTGTTATATACTACTTATGTGGATATAAGTAACCCACACCACAATATAGCTCAAAGAACGTAATATTACCAAATATTTTTGTTGAAAATAAACAAACTGCATTTAATAAACGCTGAGTAAAAATTTGATGTTTGTACAAAAAGAATTATAAATAATTGGTATATTATTTATGTATACAAGTAAAAAGGAACAAAAAGATGAGACATCATGGTCAGATAGCGTTACGTTATGAAGGACAAGATGAACACTAGCAAAACTTGAACAAATTTCATTCTTGTTCAGTACTGCTTTATTATGAATCTTTTGTTTGTAAAGCAATTAGCTTAGATAGATCTGATGATATTGTTTTTCTAATATAAGAAGGAATTTAAATTTCAGAGACTACAATTAGTATGGCCCGTGTTATGTAACTATTAGGATTTTTCTTAATTAGCTTATAACAGATTGAAGTAGCAACAATTTTCTGTGTAGAAACGATAATTTCTTGAGTTTATTTGTGTAGACGAATCTATAGATAAATCACTGATACATAAAGTATGTGATTACATAAGCTGACATCAGTTTATAATTAGGCACTACTACATGACGCATGATCCCAAAATATTTATTCGTATAACAATCAGTCAGCTTAGCCCATACACTTCTCAACATATCGGCAACCTTCCAAATATATCCCCGAACTTCTCCATTCTTCTCTTTTTTTTCGGTTGTTTTTGTGGTGCACGATCATAAAGGTGTTACGGATAGCAGCGCTGTCATACCTGAATATTCGCGATATCCTTATATGATTCATAGAATGATTTCAAGTGTGAATATACTAAGGTAAACCTGAGGAATATGAGTAGTATGCCAGAAACTTATCTTTACATTCGGTAGACTTTAATTGTCAATCATTTACCATTAAGTGAAAAATCCTCTTACTAACAAAACTCAGGGAAAGCTGAAGAAACGCTTCACTTCCAATAACAAAACGTGATAACTTCTGAAGAGCCCTGCGGACTATTTACTCCTTCGTTATTTATATCCATCACACGTAAAAGTCTAAATTTCAGATGACAGAAGCTTCTTCTCGGGTAAATCCTGAGTGAAATAACTTACCAAAACCACATCTATAACCACATAGTAAGTATTTTAAGTCCTCATTTATATCATATCAACAGATACGCTAAAAAATCGCGGACACGTTTCCTATTTCTTAGTCCAAGTGCAACTTCAAGTCGTGATCACACAAATCGCGAGCAAATTTTTAATAAAGAATTCAACTGTCGTTGGTTTATGAATATCAGGTTTAAGACATACTTGTGGATGGAACATTAATGTAGTTATATGGCATACCTGTGGTCGAAAAAACGTACAATCCACCCAAACGTTCGTTAAAGAACCTAACCATTTCTGATAATGCTCATAATGCCGGGTAATTGACAACAAGCTAGTGCTTGCCCGAACTCAAAGTTACAACGTGAAGTGGATGATCACTGAAAACCTTTGAGTGCCTTCTGAAAATGCAATTTCGGATCCTTTCAAATAGATATTTGATCCCAATATGTTGGTAATAATGTTATTGATTTTCGAGTACATAACGCTTATTTATTAACCATCTTTCTGTGTGTAGTAAATTTAAATACATAGTGCAAGCTGTGCTTTTGATTCATTTTGCCCTTTTGATATAATTTATCACCCTTGTTAAATTCGAACCATTTAAATTATTCATAAACCTTGTGTTTGAATGAGATTTAATGTGAATAATTCCAAAAGTCTTCACGATCTATGCAAAAGAACATAGTTAAGGTCAATCAAATAAATTTTTATTCTTTGGATCGTCCTCTGCATTCAGATCACATATTGGAATCCCGTTGTTACAATAGTACCGTGATATTATTGGTGATCTATTCCATTTAGTCTATATTTCCAGTTATCTGATAACCCCTATTCGTGTGCCAATTACAGAGTCGTCTAAATCTAGCTTTTATTCAGTATAGCACGATTGAATAAAAAGTTCATTTTTACGGCGTATTTTGAATATGTCACGCAAAAATCACCATGTGGATTTAGGTTTTGATTTATATCACATCAAATACCTAGGCCCTCATTTGGAAGGGATAAAATTAAGCTGAAACCATCTAAAAACTGCCACATTTCGAATTACCCACTGGGTAACTTTCTTCAAGAACTATATCGACTCGCAAAAGGTAACGCAACAATCATGAAACTTTCCTAACTATAAATTCCCCTTGACATTTTCCGGTATATACAACTCTGAACAATTTGAAATAAAACTTTGTGAGCTTAGGAGTGACATCTGGTTTTGATATTACAAGCATTGCAACACTGACTGGCAATCCACGTTAGGCATGTTCAGCTAAACAGGACAAGGTAGTTCACGCGTTTCAAATTCGAAGCAAAACTGCATATATACGAACGCAACAAGTTGACTGAACAAAATGGATGAGCTGCATGAATGAAGTGATGCTAACAATGCTCACGTTTAGATTGAATTTTTACAAACGAAGAATTCATGAGTAGCAACATCTCAATCCTAGGTCCTCTGTGAAAAAGTGGTCGCGTCGTTACAGGCTTCAATTTTACTATTGAAATTACGTTAAAATAGCTTATTGATAATAGATGTTGAAATTCAAACGGACTGATGCGTATGCTTTACCGGACAATTTACGGCAGGTAGACTGAAATGTCTACCCTCAACTTGATGTAGACGCTCCTTCCGATTTCTTACTGTACATAATCTTATATGTTACAAAATACTCTGCCTCGCAAATGGTCCTCAAATGTTGCAGGCAACGTAAAGCCACAAGGAATCGCACTCCTAGAATGCTAAGACACAAACGGCACAACTAAGTGGAATATAAATGAACTAGTGAAAACAGCACACATAGGCAATCCGAGAAAAGCGAGGAACCAATGTACGAAGACAATAGGAGAAGACGGGCTTTGGCATCAGATAAAGCTAATCGACAAGTCGAGGCACGGTACCGGAAAACTGAAAGCTCGTTTACAAGGCACCAATTTTCAAAGGAGGCTTACGTGGCTACTTACTAGCCATGAACTTCCTTTCACACCAACAGCACGGTTTCAGAAAGGGTCATTCCTGTATAACCAACCCGCTGATCGCGGTGGACAGATGGACAACCATCCTTGATCGCAAAAGGAAGGTTGACGTCATATGCCTTAACTTCTCTAAAGCTTTTGATAGGGTCAGTCATACGTGTCTTATCAGTGAGCTTAAACGGTAAGGTACCAAGCCACCGTTAATTGTTTGGCCTACTCCACATCTAAATGGTTTACCTTTCAGGGTCAGGGTAAACTTCACTTTTTCTCAGGCTGCGAAATGTCTTAGTGAGGTTCCCCATGTTTCAGTACTAGGACCTCTTCTCTTCTTAATTTTTTTGAACGACCTTCCTCAGCCGGTGTCGTCCGACTTATCACTACTCGCTGATGATGTGAAACTCTAGAGAGAAGTTTGCAGATTATACATACAACTTAGGTAACTACCATCCAAAGCTATCACAAGTTGAAAATGATCTGGGAGTGTTGGTGTCCAATGATATGAAGTCTTACTCCAACTGAAACAAAAATGCCTTTCTAGCAGATTGTACACTGGTAACATTGAAGTGCGACTTTTCGGCCAGTTAGATGGTAGAACTGCTCACTTTGTGTTCGACAGTTTTATTCGACCCCGTTTAGAGTATGGGAACACTTCGCTTCTATCTGAAGTTTGTGCTGATGATGTTGTTCAAAAGAACGATGAAAGCTCCACGACCAAACCATCCAGCTCAGAGAACAAAACTCCACCAAAGTCATAATGTTTCCTCCCTCACTCTAAAAGGATGAGGGTACATTATGATGTATCCAACAGTGGGCCAAGAAATCAGTTCCGGGACCCAAACTCAACTCTTATGAAGAACCCCTCAGATAACTTAATTTGAAGCATTTCAAAACTTTCCAGACATCCCCTTAAATGCCTATTTGAGCTCTGTCCCAACACAATTCTTGTGAGTAACATACAGATACTGGAAACACATCATAGCAAAACAGACTGCAGACACAACTTCTACTCCTTAAGAGTAGTCAGATGTTGAAATTCGATGTCGGCTAAGCTAATGCAAGAGATTTCACAGGAGTCCTGCAAGAGGAAACATGACATATTCTTAGGGACCAAGGACAGTAGTTTACTGATATTTTCCTCTTTTATCGCTGAATATAATTAAGCTCCTACCAGAAGACGTCGGTGATTCCCTGCCATTAGATATAGGAACACACTAAACTAAAGCGTCTTCTATTTCTATATGAACTATTTGAAGAGTTGTTAAAGTTATCATTATTGGCGCACTAATCAACATTAATTGTCTGGCGGGTTGGTCGCTTGTTGACTTTTGTGGATGATTAAACCATATTCTTCTATTTATGATCCCAAGATTGTCGTAATCTGAGGCTTATGTCTATGTTGACTGATTATTATTGTTTTCCGTAGTGAGTGTAATTGCATTGCTTGCACATCCGAAGTCGTTGACACACGTTTTCCTATGTTCTCTGCAGCCCACCTCAATCTCCCTTCTACTTATTCCCCGAATTCTCAAAACATATTGTAGCTAGACGCAAACCTTCACAATTCTCAATAGTTTTTAAGGGTGCGTGTTCACGTGATTTTATCTTGCTAATGGTCAGTATATCAGTATAATTCCAGGCTAGCCTAAATTAATGCTCATCTACCCTGTCTCTGTAGAAAAGTGGTGATTTTATTTTAAGAAGTCTTAATTTAGAACTCACAGTAAGTAACTTCGAATATGATGATGCCGATATGCTACGCCTAAGTGTTTAGCTAAATCCACGAGTGCGCAAATATACGTACAGTTGGTCGAAACAACACATTTAACAGTTTTTAGTTAAGCTGCGTCGAAGTTATTCAGTCGAATTGCTATCCGGAAAGTCGCTCATTTGTAACTACAAGTGTTCACGAATTATAGCTCAACAGGGTTACTTTGAAAGTACGCCAATTGCTGTACATGTAACAGTGTAGTGTGCTTCATTAATTATCACAATAATGTTTTCAGCAAATATATTTCAGTAGCTTGGTGTGGAAGCAGTTATAGTGTAATTGAAGCACGTCATGTGGCGGTTCTCAAAGATGTCCCAATATCCCTATTTTAGGGGAATTTCGGGGGTTTTGTGCCATTTCCCCAAATTTTCTGTAGCAGCTTCTTCAAACTTTCCCCAGAACGGACAACATTCTCTCCAAAATAGGGAGCTTTGCGTGTTTCATCCTAATTAGCCACTTGGCAGTCAAGCAATGTCAGCCAAGATCTTAAAAGAGAAATACAAGGTATTCTATCGCACTCCTCGTGCTTTCATGATTTCAGCTTCAAACAATACCTTGCTTATGATTAAAAATGCAGTAGTACACTACTACAGGACTGAGTCAGCTGCTGAATAAGGGGAACGTAATTTTCAGTAATTTATGAACGTGACTCAAAGCCAATAAAATGTAGGTCTAAATCCCGTTCCCATTTCTTCGTTTTCAGTTGTCTAGCACTACCCTTAAAGCCCGTACAATCTTAGTAGATCAAAACATTTCCCGTGGTTAAGCTCCAAGTTGTATGATATAGTCATTGAGTAAGGTTTTACGGCATTAGATGGATAAAAGTTGTATGGATTAAGTGGTTTTCTATGTCCATATCTTCTAAATTAGTCACATTCACCTTGAATTAATAGTTTGTCTTGTACATTATGCAGATGGATCCAGCTCAAGAACCTAACTCAGGGATACATACAAATAATGTCCAGGTAAGCTTACCATGCGTTTTCTGTTAAGTATTGATTAATGCTGATCTTTGACTTAACGTGCTATTAACTATTTTTTCAACTTAGCGCAACGTTGTTATTAGTCCCTAACTTACCATGTCATCAAATTTCTGGTCCCGATTAGTTCGAAACCTGAGTGTCACGTGTGTTTCAATTTTCAGTCCAGAACTTGCGTGACTAATTTAGATCAATTATTATGGAAGCGAACAAATCAAAATATATCATCTCATGAAGCCGCAAATAGTTTTGCAATTGAATCGAAGTAAACCAAATAAATTCTTAAGATGATCGAGGTACACTTGTGTATAAAGGGTTGAGAGTTCTTCGATTAGCTAAATGGGTTTTGCGGAGTCCGTGTCAATCGTTAGGTTGTTTTTGTCATACAGGGTATCACAAAAAGCCTCAGCACTAGACATGTTTCGTCCTAGTATTGATTCAGATTATTATCATTACAATTATTGTCATTATTAATACTAATATTATTATTACTACTATTATTGTCATTATTGTTATTATTATCATTATTATTATTATTTTCCACATTATTCACCCTCGTGTGGCGCATATATATTGGCGCTCTCTTGTACCAATATTTATGTGTTCAAATAATAATAAATCGCTCGGTAGTGTTCACCCCCAATTTGCTCGTTGGGCGATAGTCCATTAATTAGTTTCAACAAGAGCAGTCATAAAATTAACTCATCCTCAGAGTGCTTTGTTGAGCCCATATATCAGTTTGTGGGATCCACGTATTTCAGTGTTAGTATGTAAGGAATTTTATCTGTCCATTAAACAAGTAGGTTTGATAAAATACTGGGTTTCGTAACAACAGCCTCGCGGCTCTTTCTTGAGAATAAACCCATTTATCTCTTAACAAGTGTATCTTCCTCAAAGCTTGCTAATTTCGTCTGAATTTTGTCGAAGGAAGTCAATGAAACGCGTTCATATGAGTTTTTATTAGAAGCTAAATGCCCATTGAAACAATGATGCAATTTATAAAATGGATCTGGGTTCGGATCCAACTAATGACTTGTTTATCCTGCATTCTAAATGAATTCTGGACCATTCTGTTGATTAATATTTTTGCTATTTTTTTGTAGTTTTACATTTCTTGTCCCAGAAGTTTGAAATGTTTTCTAAGTCACGGATTAAAGATTCATGTATCTGACCTTGAGTAGTAATTTTTAGTGTAATGTAATTCTCATCCCAGTTACAGATTCACGTATTTGCTTGGATTGTACAGGCTAGCAATTCTACGCGGCAACTGAAACTGAAGTATTTGGATGAAGTTTTCACCTGCTACTAAGTATTTCATGTAGCTGAAAACGTCATACATAAACATGAGCTTGATAATTACGAGATAACATTAGCTGACACTATTGAGTCGTTAATGTTCCAGTGTCAGTTCTTGTCTTATCTTTTGTCGTTTCTACCTACGATTAAAAGCTCCAATAGGTTTAACCTAAAGCGAGTTTCCGCTTTTACTGTAATAGAAGTGTAGAATATCGAAAGCTAGATCATGTTTTTGGTATTGTAGATCATATATATTACGATATAGATGTTCTGCTGTAACTTTGTTAGCCATTACTGCAATCGCATCACCCCTCATACACATTTTGTACTTATGAATAATCGTCCAGCTGTTTCTGTTTCATTTTTAGGGGGCACTTCGGCAGCTTGATTTGTTGGTCGAAAAGGCGGAGCTCTATGCTCAGGTGAAACTTATTGGTTCTGGAACAAAAGATCTGTCTAGTCCATCAAGAATTAAACAAGAGCAGCCCATTAGTTCTCCTACTTCCTACTCTTTTGGAGAGTAAGTTGTACTGTTATTATCCGAAGTATTGTTTATTCAGCCATCGACATCGTCGTACTGAAAAAGAAGAAGATGAAGAACTATTGACCGAAACTAAGCATAGTTCATCTGGTATTCAGCGTTTCGAAGCTTCTCCGTGGTGTAAGTAATAATTTATTACCCATATTTTCTACATTTTAGACGTAAAGGGAGGAGAGATGCGTGACTATCAAATCCGTGGTCTAAATTGGATGATTCAGCTCCATCATAGTAGTATAAATGGAATTCTAGCCGATGAGATGGGATTAGGGAAAACTTTACAAACAATATCATTACTTGGTTATATAAAACACTGTCGACACAAACATGGGCCACATATGGTAATTGTGCCTAAATCTACGCTTTCCAACTGGATGAATGAATTTGCTCGTTGGGTTCCTTCTTTGCGCACAGTTTCATTAATTGGAAACCATGAAGAAAGGGTAAATACCACTATTTCTGAGTTACTTGTTTTTCTTGTTTCTAGAGTCAAAAAATACAAGAGGAGATCTTGAAAAAGGAATGGGATGTTATTGTCACAAGTTACGAAATGTGTATTAAAGAGAAGGCGGTCCTGAAAAAATTTCACTTTATATATTTAATAATAGATGAAGCCCACCGAATTAAAAATGAAAAGTCGAAATTGTCAGAAATTGTCCGGGATTTTCGCTCTCAAAACCGTCTCTTGATTACCGGTACACCTTTGCAAAATAATTTACATGAATTATGGGCTTTATTAAATTTCCTAATGCCGGATTTGTTTTCTTCATCTGAAATGTTTGATGATATGTTCAAAACGGGTAATGATCAAGAAGAGAGTTTAGTTCAACGTCTACATGCAGTTTTAAAACCATTTTTGTTAAGACGAATTAAAGCTGATGTGGAGAAACGTTTACCACCAAAAAAGGAGTGCAAGATTTATATTGGTCTTAGTAAAATGCAACGCGATTTGTACACCAAGATTTTAATGAAAGATATTGATGTGGTGAACTCTGTAGGGAATAAAGTGGATCGTCTTCGCCTACTAAATATTCTCATGCAACTTCGTAAATGCTGTAACCATCCTTATTTATTCGATGGACTAGAACCAGGCCCTCCGTATACAACGGATCGTCATCTTGTTGATAATTGTGGAAAGCTGATGTTACTGGATAAACTGCTGCCGAAACTTAAAGAACAAGGATCACGAGTCCTTTTATTTTGTCAAATGACGCGAATGATGGACATTCTTGAAGACTATTGTTTGTGGCGCGGCCATGAGTACTTTAGACTAGACGGATCCACACCTCATGAAGAACGCCAGGTCAGTATTTCACCTCACTAACAGTAAGAAATTTTTTAATCGTCAGCTTGTAAAATAAATATCATGCTTTTTAGATATCTAAGATTTAATTTATGGTTAGGAAACAACCTCTAAGGATAAAATATATACGAAAGGTACTCATATTCGTTCGTAAATGTCTCTTAAGCTTCATTCGCACATAGTGGAATCACGAGATAACTAATGTTGAGGGTTGGCTAAGACATTTGTTTCTCATACCTAGCCACTGCTTACCTTAGCGTACAGTGCTGCATGACATAGGAGCACATCAAAGGAAATCCGAGGGGACAGAATTGGACGGAGTATCGTTTCATGAAACCACAGACTTTTGGTCATAGTAGTGTTGGTAGGTGTAGAATCCCTAGTTCGACCCCACCTGGTTATCATAACCAATGTTTAGGGTCATTGGTTAGCATGACAAAGATATTCATTTTCCATCTTCATACAACTCTAAGGTTTCATCGTTGTATCGTACTTTGTGCTTTCTAACTCAATTTCTACTTTAGGATACATTTTCACTGCTGAATCCCTAAAATCTGGCTGGTTTTCGTTCAGACTGTAAATGTATTGACCATTTCTCCATCTCACCCGAATCGTTGAGTATTTTCACATTTTTTTACCTGTTTTCCATGTTAATGTGTTTAACTTAAAGTGTGCTGCTAACGTCCTTGACAGGAACCACTTACGCCATAGTTTACATGTCCTTGGAGGCTTTTCAGCCTAGCAAAACATTCTTACTGTGGTTTTTCACTACCAGTCAGGTAACAAAATGATAAATTCTTCCTGTTCCTTAAGTTCGGTTCATATATGTGTATCCATCGATGTTATCAACTATGCCACTGTCTGGATGCGCTTGATTACTTTCGATATTTGGATCCAATAACAAATGTCACAAGACAGTTTTACTAGCCATTATAAGGAAATGATCAATCTTACTACTAACATATGGTCTTGTTATTATTAAGTACTCTTGAAATAAGTCTGTGAAGACTCATTATCTTTGAAGTCTCGAACATTTCATCCTTATTTCGAGACTATCGTTTACATTCCGATCACCATAGTTTTGACCCCGTATGTGTATAACTATGAAAACCTACATTTAATACTCTATTTCTTTTTGCATATTTTGTCACCTCAAATTCTAATTTAGATTTCAATTGATGAATACAATCGTCCAGGTTCCACCAAGTTTCTTTTCATGCTTTCTACAAGGGCTGGTGGTTTGGGTATCAATTTGGCCACAGCCGACGTAGTTATCATCTATGACTCAGACTGGAATCCTCAAGTTGACCTTCAGGCCATGGATAGAGCACATCGTATCGGACAAACCAAAACTGTACGCGTTTTTCGACTAATTACAGAACATACAGTTGAGGAACGTATTATTATGCGTGCTGAGATGAAGCTCAAATTGGATAACTTGGTTATTCAACAAGGTGATCTATAAATATGTAACCAATCGTTTTAGACTGTATGACTATGTACCATTAAAGATGGACTTACTGTCACTCCAGATTATGTTACAGTCACTTACAATAGTTACTGAAATTCCAATCAATTATGTATCGTGCTGAAATTATCATATCTAATGCTTACCGCAGTCTCGTACCTAATCGCTGTGAGACCTGTAGGCGGTATAAATCCTACATAAGTCGGTGTCCCAGATCACGGTCCATACATTTTCGAATCCTAAATTTACCTGACTATTTCCAAAATAAAGTATACCTAGCAGATTTAAAATAATACCAGTTAGTAGTTCAAAATGCCTAAGCACTTTTGTGTATAATGACACCACTATTTAGCACTAAGAAATAATACAGATGGTCTTGAACAAAATAGCCGACTACTGATTCATGTAGGTACACTTACGGATTTTAATAGGTTTGTTTGTTACGTTGCTTTAAAATATAAGATCTGTTCAGTACATTCGTATTTGAAATGTCAGTATTAATTGAATACTGAGTACTACTTCAGTGAAACTTTGTAGGTCAGGTTAATTCTTTCTTCTCACAATATGGACCCTAATTAGCAGTGGTCAAATGATTCTTTTCTGACTTAAACATCTGTCATTGTTAGGGGATCTGTTGATCTATGCGTGCTAGGTTCTCGATGTACATATGAATATCCATGGTCTTAAAAGTACGTTGCGTATCAAAAGCCGTAACTTTTAATCATGAACCTAACCACTTCTTGCCAATAATGACTAGTTTATTCGTATTTGTCAGGTAAATTTTAAATTCAGTAACTTACGATCTTTATCATCCCGTCAATTTGACGAGATCGATATTACTTGACAATCAAGATGAAGCTTGCAAAATGTGGCAACTAGTGTCTAATTTCGTTTTTGAATCGCAGACGGATATAATTATAAGCTCTGAGTATGACTTCGAAAATAATAATCCATATCTATCTTTTGTGGTTTGAAAGACTAGAAAGAAGCTATGCACCACCGTCAGTCATATATTCTTTTGTTTATAAACGGATATTCTCAACATTTTTCACGTTTTTAACCTACAGTCTTGACAATTTGGTAGCCAATTGCAGGTTTATTCACTGATCCGTTGTTCTACAAAAGCACAGTTTGGTTAGTATTATTATATTACAGCATCAACAGTAATCGACTTGGATTTAAATTGAGAAATTTACCGTATAACAATCGGTGACCCAAATCATTAAACCACAACTCCAATACGATTTTGTTAACCTTACTTCAAACTCTTTTCTCTATCGAAGGTCAGAATTGTCAACTAGAATATACATACACACCAATCCTTTTAAAATTATACGTTACAGCACCCTATTTGTTAATGGAAATCTAATTTTTAATTTTGCTTATCATAGTTTGGTGTTCACAAACTATCGTGTGAAATACTTCTTCAAACCCGTTTTCCTGTTCTTGTGTATTTCCAGGTCGTCTTGTTGAGCAAAAATCAAACCAACTTCAAAAGGGTGATGTTTTAGATATGATCAGACATGGTGCCAATTACATTTTCCGTAGCAAAGATAGTGATTTCAAAGACGAGGATATTGATATTATCTTAGCTCGAGGTGAACAAAAGACTGCTGAAATGAATGAAAAACTGGCTCAATTGGGAGAATCTAATTTAAGGTCTTTAAAATTCGATACGGCAGATGAAAATGGTGCACCAACATCAGCATATATATTCGAGGGGGAAGATTATCGAGAAAAACAATGTCGCACTTCCTTATTAGATGTATGCGATTTTAATGGTATAGTTTAGATGAATTCAGAGAAATTTATTTTTACTGTTTTCTCTTTGTAACTGTCATTCGAGTCGTTTATATTTACTGATGATGTGCATTTGTAAATCATTACTGTTCACCATTTGTGGTTTGTGTATTCTAATTTAATAAATATTCTATTTCTAATAGGGTTGGATAGAACCTCCGAAACGCGAACGCAAAGCAAATTATGCGGTTGACGCATACTTTCGGGAAGCGCTTCGTGTCTCTGAACCTAAAGCACCGAAACCACCTCGACCACCAAAGCAACCAAATGTGCAAGATTTCCAGTTTTTTCCTCCTAGACTTTTTGAGCTTTTAGATAAAGAAATATATGCATTCAGGTTGGTCTAGTTTTCTTAGGTTTAATAATTAATCAAAACCTTGTTTTTCTCTATTTTTGAGCCGAAATTACAAAAGCTTGAATAAAAGTGTAAATACAAACAGAAGGAATAGTGTGTAGTTTCGAAAGATTATTATGCATCATTTTATGTACATCTAAATTTTTTTACCAATAGTTGTACATAGACATGGTTGTTTATGTCGCCAAAGATCTTGTGGTTAATTTCAGAAACATTTGCAAAATTAATAAATCCTCAGATACTAATCGCGGCAGAGGGTGTGGGTAACAAAAAATGAGGACAATCTTATTTATCTCCTACCGAGAGATTCACTTACGGGCCTAGAATACTTTAATGATACAGCCCTGTTTGATAAGGACGCTGACAAATTGTCTTCTGATAACCTCGATCAACAATCCATGCGTGTCCGAGATGCGTTTATCCTCCTCCTAATGAGAAGTGTTTCTTAGGGACTGGTTTATGTCACCGTCTAGATTGACCATAGGGAGTGAAGTAATTGAGCACATCGACTGTTTTATTCACCTTGAAAGTCTTATCAACCGTGCTAGGTTGATGTTTAACGAAATCTCAACCCAAATTCCGAAAGTTCACTTGACTTTTATCAATTTGCGTCACACGGATATCCGTATCTTGACGAAGAGAGGAGTATATTCCGCAGTAGTTTTCTGTTCTACTGGATGACTATATTACGTGATCTTTAAGTGTGGAGTTACTAGTATTTGATTATAGATACGTTCTTAGCGCACATCGGAACCACTGAAAGTGATCAGTGTTGAGGTTAGATGTAGAGTACTAGTCAAATATATTAAACAGGTTAATAAAATTAAGAATCGTCAGCGATTAAAGTGGTTTTTAAATCTATCTATCTATCTATCTATCTAACAAGCTCTTACCTCGACGTGCCATGTTACCTTGAGTAGAAACATGTTAGGAAAAACTAAAACGTGGCATCAGTCTATTAAGTCAGTAAATTAGCTAATGTTGAAATATAATTGAGCTCGTTTATGTGATCTGACTGTTCGTTAAGTGTGTAAAAATATTGACTAATTCACATTTCCAATGTAGTGTAGGGTTAACAGTTTTAAACGTCGAATATCAGCTACTGGAATGACCAAACTACTGGATTCATAAAAACAACTAAGGAATGGCTTTTTAAAAACTAATTGATTGAATCAAAAAGGTATGTGAAAAAGAAAATTACTTTATATTAATTATGCTTAGACAATTCAGTATAAATTTGTTGGGGTATCACTGTTCTTTATTTCTTGTTTGGTTGTAGAAAGAGTATTGGTTATAAGGTTCCTCGTAACCCAGATGCTGGGCCAGATGGTGAGCGTGATCGTCTGGATGAACAAGCTAGAATAGATGAAGCTGAACCATTAACTGAGGAGGAACTTGCCGAGAAGGAAGAGCTTTTAACACAAGTAAATGAATAAATGATATAATATTGCTCATTACTATTTGGCTTTCTCAAATCCTTATTATTTAGCTATGATCTGTTCCAAATAAATAATCGTATGTTTGTCTTTTTAGGGTTTCACAAACTGGTCGAAACGTGATTTTCAACAGTTCATCAAGGCCAACGAAAAACACGGTCGTGATGATTTAGAAGCAATTTCAGTAGATGTAGAAGGTAAAACTCCAGATGAGGTTAAACGGTATGCCCGTGTTTTTTGGACAAGATGTAACGAGTTGCAAGATGTCGATAAGCATATGGCTCAGGTAATTGTCAATTTATATCGATACTAATTCCTGTTGATGATTTGAAAGACATTGTCTAGCGTGAATGTCTATATATTATGATTAGTGACTACATAAATACGGTTATTGGAAGGTAATCAGTCATAATAATTTCACCCGGACACTTCCGTATTAATAAAAGCTAAGTTTAAATGTTGTGTTTGCTAAAATCAAATATCGTCAGACGTGATTGTTTACACCTCCATTGATATATATAGGGTCTATTACCACATAAATTTTCAGGTGCCAATCAATTAAGTCCTATTTTTCAATTCCACATGTTATCACAATAAAGCAGTAATTCATTTCCTATTCTGAAACTTTATCCTGTTAATCTAACGTATATATGCCTTCATCGTGAAGTTTGTTAAAAGTATTCTTATCTCACTTTTTTGTTTGCTCATCAGATTGAGCGTGGTGAGGCGAAAATCCAAAGAAGAGCTGCTGTAAAACGTGCTCTTGATCTAAAGATGGCCCGATATCGAGCGCCGTTTCACCAACTTCGGATACAATATGGAACAAATAAAGGGAAGAACTATGTTGAGGAGGAAGATCGTTTCTTAATCTGCATGCTTCATAAACTTGGTTTCGATCGTGACAATGTATATGATGACTTACGTCTTGCAGTTCGCTTGGCCCCACAGTTTCGATTTGATTGGTTTTTGCGATCTCGCACAGCAATGGTGAGTAGTGTCAAGTAATCGCCAGTGATTGTTTATGCTTGGTGGAGTTTTGAATTTGTCTATCGACTTTTCACTTCGTATACAGGAAACTTGCTATAAATAGGCATTTCAAGATAGTTTTACATCAGTATTGCAGTCGCTATTTTCTTACTTGTTCAAGTCAGCTGTTCACTTTTCTATTTCAGGAACTACAAAGACGTTGCAGTACTCTTATTACTTTGATTGAGAGAGAAATATGTGACTTAGAAGACCGAACAAAACAGCGTAGTGGAGCAGGCGCGAATAATTTACCACTCACTCCTGCAAATTCCGGACCATCTAACACATCCACAGTATCCAACCAAAAGCGGAAGTCAACTGCAGCTGGTGGGATTAACTCGGATTCAACTGCAGAGATTTCCGGAAACGCAAAGAAAAAGAAGGTCACTGCTTAAATAACAGTGATTTGTAAATGTCTCTGTCTTATACTCTTGTTGTAGGCCTCTTGCATTTGATTTTATGTACTCAATTCCTTTGATTTCATACTGGTGTATTGTTTACCAAATCTTACATAAATAAAGATTTGTAATTAGATTTACTCCTTGCCAAATATTTTCATTTGGTATCTATAATAGTCTGAAGTGTAACAACGTTCAACAATAAGAATATTTTAGTGTACACTAAAGCATTAACTCGCTTCACATATTTTTGATTTCTACTAAATTGTCTTATACATTTAAATTCATATAATTAATGATCTACCTAATGAGAACGATTAATGACAGAGAATTCACCTAAATCATTCTCACTCATTTGATCAAAAACTCAATATAACTTTCTCATATAGAATATATTTAAGAAAGTAATTGATAACAATAGGATCGACTTTATAAAACGACACTACTTATAAATGACCAAACTTTAGTAGATTTTCGAAGAAAACGATGTATTTCTTAGGATGTCTGCTTCAAACGTTTTCACGAAGAAATACAAATTTTAATTAACATGGCTGCATCACATTTGTAGTCCTGTAAATCATTAAAATCATCGATATTCATGAACAGTTACAATTCTTGAGAACAGCTGGATTACGATATCATCTTATAATTATTCTAGTCAATTCACTGGGTATATCGTTAATCTAATCATCATATTCAAAAAAGCGTTTAACCTAACAACATCGTGTTTCACTTTAGATTGGCGTTTTTTGCACGAAAACAGATTATCTTCAGCAAGAATGATGCGTCCGAGTGATTTTTCTTTAACGCTTACTTGCGTTGTTTTTACAACCTCAGGTAGAGAATGTCATGCGTTTGAAATGTGTCCAGTCCCTGTTGTCTTGTACTGTGACTATTGTTTAGACCCTGGTTTCTGTAGATTGTCAATTGTCTCATTATGGCTTACAAAGCGTATGATAAATGTTTGCAGATAGTTTATTTTCTACTGTATACTAAATTACGTATTTATAAGTTATCAAAGTAACCATAATTCACAGCTGAACGTAAACAATGAATATAAAGTGAAATATTATTACTAACTTACGCCTGTTACTCCTCGTGAAGGAACATAGGCCGCTCACCAGCATTCGCCGTCCAACCCTGCCCTGGGCAATCCCTTCGAGCTCCTTCCAGTTGTTATTCATCCTTTCCATATCTGCTTTTATTTCCCGACGTAATGTGTTCTTTGGCCTTCCTCTGTTCCACCTTCCTTCAGGATTCCAAGTTAGGGATTGTCTCGTGATGCAGTTTGACGATTTGCGTAATGTATGTCCTATTCATTTCCATCGTCTTTTCCTAATTACCTCTTCAGCTGGAAGCTGGTTTGTTCTCTCCCGGAGAAGGCTGCTGCTGATGTTATCCGGCTAATGGATGTTGAGTATCTTGGGTAGACAGCTATTTATAAACACTTGCACCTTGATGATGGTTGTTGTAGTTCTTCAAGTTTCAGCTCCGTACAGTAGAACTGCCTTGACATTCGTATTGAAGATTCTCACTTTGATATTGGTTGAAAGTTGTTTTGAGTTCTATATATTCTTCAATTGTAGGAGTGCGACCCTTGCTTTGCCAATCCTTGCCTTTACGTCTGCATCTGAGCCTCCTTCTTCATCGATGATGCTTACCAGGTATGTGAAGGATTCTACATCTTCCAGAGTTTCGCCATCAAGAGTGATTGGATTGCTGTTGTCCGTGTTGAATTTAAGGACCTTGGTTTTTCCTTTGTGTATGCTGAGGCCTACTGATGCAGAGACTGCTGCTACACTGTCTGTCTTTATCTGCATTTGTTCATGTGTATGCGACAGGAGGGCTAGGTCATCTTCAAAGTCCAAAACGTCTAACTGGTACTGAGCTGCCATTGTATTCCGTGTTTCACCCTATATATCGAGGTCTTCATAATCCAGTCGACTACCAGAAGAAAGAGGAAGGGAGAGAGTGGACAGCCTTGTCTGACTCCGGTTCTTACTTGGAATGCATTTGTTAGCTGTCCTCCATGCACGACCTTGCACTGTAGTCCGTCGTACTAGTCCCAAATGATGTTAACAATCTCAGGAACTCCATAGTGTCGAAGGAGTTTCCATAACGTTCTCCTATCCACATTGTCGAATGCCTTTTCATAATCAATGAAGTTGATGTACAGTGACGAGTTCCACTCAATTGATTGTTCGACGATGATCCGTAGTGTCGCAATTTGGTCTGTGCACGACCGATCCTTACGGAATCCAGCTTGTTGATCTCGAAGTTGGGCGTCTACTGCATCTTTCATCCGTTTCAGCAAAACTCTGTTAAAGACTTTTCCTGGTACTGACAGTAGTGTGATTCCTTTGTAGTTTTCACATTTGCTCAGGTTTCTTTTTGGAATCTTGATGAGGTGTCCTTCTTTCCAGTCCATCGGCACTTGTTCCTCCTCCGAAATCTTTTTGAATGGAAGGTAAAGCATGTTTGTAGTTAATTCGATGTCTGACTTCAGTGCTTCAGCTGGTATATTGTTGGGTCCTGTTGCTTTCCCGCTCTTGATTTGTCTGATGGCCATTCTGATTTCTTCCGTCGTTGGTGGATCGACATCTATAGAAAGATTTGTGTGCGCTGCTTCGATGTCCGGGGGATTCATTGGAGCTTGTCCATTCAGGAGTTCCTCAAAGTACTCTACCCATCTGTTCCGCTGTTGTCGAATTTCAGTGATTAGCCTGCCTTCTTTGTCCTTGACCAGTCTCTGGTTTACTGTATTTCCCTCCTAGTTTCTTCGTTGTATCATAAAGCGTTTTCATATTTCCTTCTCTAGAAGCTTTTTCTGCCGTCGTTGCTAGTTCTTCCACGTACTTCTTGTCGGCTCTAATGCTCCTCTTCACTTGCTTGTTTGCTTCTGTGTATTCAGCTTGCGTTTGGTTGTTTTTAATTGCTGTCTTCTTGTTCTTCCTTTCTTTGATCTTGTCCAGAGTTTCTATAGAGATCCATTCCTTATGATGGTGTTTCTTTAGGCCCAGAACCTCTTGACACGTTGAAGTTAATGCCTCTTTGATGCCTTTCCAGTTGTCCTCCATAGTAGTGGATAGACATCTAAAGTCTTGCAAACTCTTGGCAGGTGTTATCTTATCAAATACTAACCATCCTTCATTAATATCTTTCTATTTGTATACATTCTGGTAGAACGAGACGTAAATACATTAAAATCCATACACGCAATCGAAGGTATAAAAGCTCTATAATACCTTACCTAGCAAATATACTCTGTGTATGCCGTATAAAATTTTTATCAGTTCTACAGTCACTTGTAATGATGTCCCAAGGATTGTTAGTCTGTCCAACCAACCAAAATCATTTTAAGTTTCAAAAATTTATATTTTCTATGCTATCCTCTCAACATGAATTTAAAAAACACTTTAAAGTTACATTTCTAGTTTCAGAAACCCACTAGAAAATTCAGTGTTTAGTTAATGCTGTCTCTCACTTATAACTTCTGAATCTCTCAACCACATTGATACACCCTTATTGGAAGTGATATATCAATACCAAGGACGAATTATTATTCTTAACTACGATCAGTTCACTTGATACCCAATCCTTGAATGAATTTTATTTGATAAATTTACAGAATTTTCAAAATAAAAAAGTTGTTCCATAAAACATTTCACTACATGAAAGATCAACTCTTAATAGCCTTCAGTATCTTTTCCAATGACTATGTACTGTCTAGATTTTCATTAACATTTTCTAAGGCTCAACAGTCATGGAATATATGTGCAATTGTTTAAACGATAAAAGCTATTATAGCTCGGGTCCTGATAAGTCCACTTATTTATTTAAAAGACAGAATTCGAAATAAAATTGCTATCTTAATTTCATTCAAGTTGAAAACTTGTCATTTTGTTCTTAGTCGACAGTTAATTTAGTTTTTATAGTTGAGATCATGAGCCAGTTGAAGCTAGACCACCATGGAAAACCAAGAAGCACTGAACGGCCATTTCGTCCTATTATGGGACTCCTCAACAATACACACCTACGACCTCGCCTCGCGAGATTCGAACCCAGGACCTATCAGTCTCGCGCGCGAGCGCTTAGCCTCTAGACCACTGAGCCGGTTGGCATCCAACGGTGTTAATGTCTAACTTCAACTAATCCACGAACTTGAGCGACACATCCACCATCGTCTTCAGTGAGTTACTGTCTCACAACAGACCCGGTTGAACTCCCACAGTATAACGAAACGGCCGTCCAGTGCTTCCAGGTTTTCCATAGTGGTCTAGCTTCAATCGACTCATGATTTCAACTATTAAAATTACTATAACATCCACAAAACCGCTTCTGAAGTTAATGTCCAAAATGATATTCCTGAGTTTAGCGAAAATTTTCAAACTATGATCTTTCAGAACAAAAATATTTAACCTGATAGTGGTGCTACCATAAAATATCACATTGGTTGGTGAATTTAATTATCTTCACGGAACAGCCCAAAGAGACACTCGCTATGAAAACTCTTAGTGCCAAACCCATCACAACTTCATTAGTTTACATCTAAAAACAATTATTGAACACTTTTGTGTAAAATACTAACTGCCTTCGTTTCGTTTAGTAAATGTCATTGTCTATTGACAAAGCATATAATAGATAAAATACACCAAGTATATAACACTGAACTTATCTGAGACGCCGACGTGTGGCTCCCTTAGGGACTAATAAATGACATATTTCAAGCTGAGAATGGCAAGCTTATTCCAGGTCTTCGCCGATCCTCGATCCAAACACCTGAGCGAATTCCATTTAAGAGATTCGTCCCCAGTCTCTGTTCAGTGATATTTTCAGCATAGACTGATGATTCTGTTTTTCTAATATTTAGAACTAATTTGTAAGTTTGGCACAACTTTTCACAGTACTTGAATTATTGGAACTAGTGTCGGCTTGTGATGATAATGGTAGTATGAATAGTGTTACAATTTTTTTCACTTACATAGACATAAATTGTTCTATTATGTTCTATGCACGTAAGATATATGATAAAACAGACACCTTTCTGGTTATACGTTGCACAAATAACCCCCGATTTTTTAATGCTTAAACCATGTCTCGAAGATTTAGGTCACAATTCTTTAGAACATCGTACAGAGATACTTTACATGCCACAACATTTACTTACTAATTGATCATCCGGATGTACATAAAAGACAAAACAGTTAAAACCATACACTTAACAAACTCCTCGTTTCTGGTCCTAAATTGAATTGTCATCAGTGCTGTGAAATTATAAATTAAATAGTTAACCAGCAGGTTTCCAATAAACTTTTTCTACCTTTTCTCAAAAATACTAATTAGTTTATAACATTCACCAATAGTTATCTAATATCCAAGTCCCGGTTTCAACAAAATGTCTGATGAGTCAGCACTGATTCTTTTCCAAAACCAACTGCCAAACAAATCGCAACCTAAAACGCACTCAATCGATTGCTCATTGTTTTATTTCTCGCTCACTCTTTCAACATTATTCAGATGTGTATAATCGTAGATAGGAATTACTTATAAACTAGTCAGGAATCTATATTACTATTAGATAGTTTGAATTTGCCGAGAACAGTTCAAGTTATCTAGTTTTTTGTGATTACATGTTATTTCCTTCTTCAATTGATGAATAACCTCGATGGGAATTTTCTAATTCATGTTTCCGTAATAACTTTTTTGTTATGACTGACTGTTGTCATTTTTGGTTTGCTCATTTTGTTGTGGCCCAAGGCTATTGAGTGACTACAAAGACAGTTCTTAATCTCAATTTCTAAATTCTGTCCGGAATATGGCGCCTTTCCTTGAAGTCCTGTCTTCTCTATCACATATCAGTGCGCGAATTTCCAACTTTGAAGAGTCGTCGTGTGTTAGTTTCTATGATTTCAAGTTCACAGTAGATTTCCATTTTGAAACCATTGTTTTTATCGATTTTAAGCAGCATTATCCCGTTGTCGATATTCCTAAATTTTGATCAGTCTTTGTTGACATATACGCATCCTGTGCGGACTGTATATAGCCAAAATGTCGCGAACCTTATGCAAAATAGATGAAGTGTAGCTAGCGGCAGAACCTAAGATCCACGTATCGCCCTACTTGGGACTCTTCAACCGGATATCCCTGTATCTCAGTGATGTTCAAACCATGACTCAAACTCAATACCTACCGTTTTAAACTCCTAACCCGTTATCCGCTGGGCTACTGAATCTGGTTGGCTTCTATCTTGTTCGACAGGTATGATATTTTTTTATTAGAAAAGGCTTGGTTTATCCCGCTGTTGATATTGTTGACTGGATTTTAACCAGTCTTTGTTGATATGTGTGAATACAGTGCTGATTGTCTCTCAATGCGTTTAAAGAGTAAGGTACATGGTCCGAGTCCCCACATGAATTTCAACATTGGAGTGCAAGTATAACCAGCCGGTAAGTCCGAAATAGAACGGGATGCGCACCCTGAATTCCAGTGCTAACCACAGCCTATATATTCTATATAAATAGAAACCCAGATGAACCCGCAAGAAAATATGACTATATGATGCAAGCAATTTTACAACAATAACTGAAATATGATCATGAGTTAATTATAAAACTACATACCAAAACAGCTATTCATTCGCTAATTAAAGCAACTAAAGAATATGAAAAGATGTATTAAAAATAAACATATATATATATATATATATATTTATTTATTTTTAATGACTGAGAAACAGAAGTTTGCAAAACTCCAAATAAAATAAATTTCTATTAAGTAGTAAATAAATCAGTTATTTTTCTTAGTTTGAATAAATATTAACAAGTAAATAAGTATTGGTATGATTGAGCAAGAGAATATGACTAGAGAAAAACAAACAAATAATAAAATAAATGAGTTTTGCACAGGATTGACAATAAAAAGACAATAAATTGCACATCATTTAGGTTTTAATGAGAATATTAGTGGTAGTAATAGTAATAGTAGTAGCAGAAGTAGTGATAGAAAATTAAAGAAAAGAAATGAATATACATAATCATTATCATTTGTGTTGTGTATTTTTCGCATAGGAATGTTTTCATTTAACACAGATCATAGTTAAATAGGTAGTTAGTTGCCCAAATGTATTTGTCTACAACTACATAAATATATGTTATACAAAGACCGATAATAAACAAATAGGAAAAACAAAAAAAGAATTATAAATATCTCTCATACACGCATATATAAAACAAGCTAATGATGTAATAAATAAACAGATCAAGAAAAATTTTATTTTAAAAAAATATCATAAGATGATTTGAAGATAAATCCAATAATTTATGCAATTTCAAACGGTTTAGAGATCATGAAAACCAATTAGTTCGACCAATCCAACAGTGAACATACAACCAATTTGTCCATTTTCACACTGAACTGTTTGTGTTAAATCAGCTGGATCAGTAATCAAGCAAGGATTAGAAAAAGTTAGAGTTGGACCACTTGAAGCCGTTGTGAGACAACTATCCAAGCTTAAACCTGGAGGTCCCTTACTTATACTGCCACCAATTTCTATACCATTATTTGAAGCTCGTTGAAAACGTTGGTGTTGTATGGAATGTATAATCTTTTCATCATCAGAACTTGATCCGATCCACCTATATATAACAAATGGACCAGGTTTAATGCGAAATAGAAAGCATAAACCATTTCCATAGTAAACAGATTCAACACGAGGTTGCCATCTATCTGAACAAAAAGCTCCAATAATACTATTCCTTGACAAACTACGTACCAATAGAATTGTTGCAGGATTTTCTGTCTCTGCTGCCTTAGCATAAAATGTACGCAGGCTATTACCATCTACATTAGATGAAAATACTCGATACGGTTTGAATAAACAGGAATATTTGCGATCATCAATCGATGTGATAATTGAAACTAATTCATTACTCGATACACATTCAGACGGATGAATTTGTTTTTCAGCATCACCACCAAGTAAGTAAGCAGCGAATGTATTCTTCCCGCTTTTATTACATGGTTGAATTAGCTGTTTGTCAACATCAAAATTCACTTTCATTAAAGAAAAGAAAGTTAAAAGTAATTGAATTAAGACTTTAGTTATACATATAATTACTTGAGCTAAGAATAATAATCGATTTACTCTCATTAATGAAAAATGTTTCAATGTGCAGTTGATAATATATAGTAATATTTTTCCTAAGTACAACAAGAATATTTCAATCGATATCTCGAGGTAAAACTGAGAAGTATGCAATAACAGGTTGAGAGAAAATACGATCACCGCAAATACACTTTTTACTGTACATTTTTAATTCTTATTAATATTTGGTTTAATTAATTTTAATGGGCAGTTTATCGCACTGTTGGACTATTAGTTCCCCATAAATCCACTTTTAAAAAATATGGTTTCGCATTTACAAAATTAGAGACGAAAACAAATAACTTTCGATATTCCTACAACTTACTGAGCAATAAACTACCACTACCATAATGTTTATCTTCTGTTTTAAGGACACTTATAAAGACTAGATTGATCATTAATTGTTTCCAGTTATCATGTGAACAACTTCACTTTACTGTGTAATCATAGTGTTCGGTTTAATAGTAAAGACATTATTTAAGGAGAAAACTCTTGGTGTTGAAAACCAAGTATGCTTAAAATATCATGAATATTTTACAAATTGTTAGGTGAGCAAAAATTACCTTGGAGAGACTGAACACTTTTGATTGCCTGAGAAATTTTCGTCCGACTCACACCACGCAGTGAGAACATTTTTCTCATTAGCTTTGATGGTGTCAATGGGATATGTTTGAATATTTCTTCATCATACACAAACCCATGAGAATAATCACCAACATTCCTCCCGATTCCATTGGTTTCACTGCTAATCTTTGAATACTTTCCACTTAAGGAGGCTTTAAGAATCTAAACGATAGATTGCAAAAAAAGGAACACAATTAATGTGCTTTGCACAAGAACATAATTTCTTTAGAAACGATTCAACACTAAGGTAATTTTAAAAATGCAGATTATAAAGTGGTTAAGATTGCGATTAGTACTGAACTCCATAATGGGTTTATTACCGAATAACCTGCTTTGTAGAAAAACTAAATCGTATTATAACCTTCAAAACTTTACTTACCGCACAAGTCGGTTACCAATAAACAACCGCTTATTATTTGACTTCAATTAAAGTTATGCGAGGAAAACATCATCACACTCTCTGAAACATTGACATGACAACTTAATGACTTTTATTAGGAAAGTTCATCTTTCATAATCAACATTTCCGAAGCGAATTAGTCAGTAGTTTCTCTGATGTTACATTCATAACGTTTTTGAAATATAGTCGGACAATTCGAAAATGAATTCTTTGATTGGTGCTATCTGCCTTTTTTAAAATAAGAACTAGTCCTTCTACTTTGCCTGGCTTGCTTATGATCAGTGTTATCTTTCCTAAGCTTACGCAAAGCATCTTGATATTGTTTGGTATGTGATTTATTTACCATTTTTGCATTATTGCCAGCTATCAGTCAACCAACGTGTTCTGAAGTCTAGTAAGTTCCTCGAATAAGGTTGGGACCAAATATGTTGTTTATGAAAATAATTTCTCAGACTGCAGGTCCGTATTTAGTTAATTAATTTTATATCTATAGTCACAGAACTTATTGGCAAGCGATAAAGCCTCTAATTAAATTATATTCAAGTTCACATTGGAAAAATTGTTTCGGTCAATAGGGAACTTAATTTCTGGTTTTTTGATATTCAAGCGAATTCAATAATTCTATCCCTAATTTTTTCACTCTAATTTTTGCCACAGTGTTGACACAGCTCATAAATTGTGATTTCACACTTAGTGGTAAGTTTTCGACAGTAGATTACCTTTGTAAAAAATTGCTTTCCAAATCAATAGTGTGCACTTTTAATAAATCTGTTTGACTACACATTATTTGCCACTCGTTTTCAGTGTACTGTAAAGCACAGGACTTGAATAGTAAGTATTAGACAAGCATGACATTATGATCAAGTGACTAATCAACGTAAATATGATAATTCTTCAGGAAGTCAGTTACAGTTAGAATGTCTTAGTGGTGATGTTTCTAACCGTGAAACTGAGTGCGGTGGGTTCAAGTCTTACAGAGATTATCAGTTCATTTCATACTGTACATGTGTCTTGTTGATGATTCCTAACTGACATAAGACTTGAGTCTAAAACTAACAAATATAACTTAACGAAGACCTAAAGCCTCATGTACTGAACTGCAGTTTATATGAATAAGGGGGAAAACGACAGTCAATTTTTTTTAACTTTTAAGGAAGTGGTTAGTTACTAAGGTAGATGGAAGCCGAAGAAGAATAATGTAACACTAAGTGAGTTTGAGAAACAAATCATAATAATGTGTCTACATAATTTTAAGAAAGAACCTTTTAGTGAACCGTAGACTATAATAAGGTGTTTAATAACTGTTGTTAACGCTGGATGAACAAGCTAGCTTTTATCATATCTAAAAACAGAAAACGCATTATACTCTTTTGGATAGATGGATTGTACAGTGATTACAGATAATATAAAATCAGTGATATGAAAAACTTACAAATAAACCAGCACGATAGAACACTTTCGGTCCTTCTAACAAAAAGCTATCAATTAAACAAACAAGATGTTCAAAAGGTAACTTCCACAGTAATAAACACCAACGGGCCAACTGAAGCCGTCTTTCATCTTCTTTACAGGTGGCACTAACATTTTTCTCATTTGATTTGGAAGTCATCAATATGGTACGTTTCTGACTATCTCTTCGTAAAAGATTACATAAATAGGCCAACTCTTCTAATGATAAACAATGTTCTTTCCAATCAGATTTTGTTTGAATTAAAATACCAGGTTGATCCAATAAAGTGAGTATACATTTACGTACAACTGTAATAGGCATATAGTGTAGAAATAATGCTGTTAACGGCCATAGTTGTGGAGCATAAACAAGTTCTGGGCGGTCAATAAATATATTATGTAATATTGTCCGTAAACAATTTTGACCAAGTGTATTTAAGAAAAAAGTTGGCAATAACATTTGATTGGAAAACTCGTAACCAGCCAATAATGATGAACCATCAATGTTTGTAACACTGGTTGTTGAAATATCATTACTATGGATGCTTGAATCGGAAATCTAAGTAAAATCAACAACATGAAAGTTATGAATACAGAAAGATGTATATCGATAAACAAATAATTATTATAAGGAGAAAAGGGTGGTGGCATACTCATTACTTTATTCCGATAGAACTTCATTCTAATCCCCTCTTATTATGAATGTTTGTAAACCACCATTGTACTGCTAAGATATGTCAACGTAAATTGATCCATAGTTACACAAGATCTATTGAAATGAGTGTCACTTAATATATATACAGAATTAAAAAAAGCTGATGGGGGAAACATTTGATTTTACTCCTAATTGAAACACATGACTGATATATGAAATATTCTTTATTAAGCAGACTTTAGATTATATTTCATTATTAAAATAAGGGTAAAGAACTATAATAGATGGATTGCACTCTATTAAAGGAAATGTGTAACTACTTAGATGAACTGAGGATAATAGAGTAACAAAACGCTCGGTTATATAATAAACTTCTTGTTATAATTCTCTGATCATGTTAAAAAAAAACTAGAAGTACTATATTCACTTAAATAATACTGCCAATTGGTCACGTATCGTGGAACGACGGAGTGAGCAATGTTCAAGTTAGACGCAGGACACCAAGTAAAGATAGCAAATCAGTAGGTAAAATTGTAAATGCTCATAGACTGAGGTGGATAGAACACATATTATGTATGCCTAATCATCCCCTACCTTGATAGGCAATGATTGCTGGTGTAGGAGTATGTTGGAAGAAAGTTTGAAGCCGCCAAACGATGATATGGCATCAGTTCATGTGTACATTGGCTGTCGATCTGAGCTATCAGTCAGTCAGTAACAACGTAGAACTTCGTACGTACGTACATCAGTTCGAGTTGCCACACCACCTTAGCACAGAGATGCAGTGGTCGATTCAAATCCCGTAGTGGTAGAGGTAATAAGAGTATAAGCAGTAATCGGGAAAATTAGTGTTTGGAGATGTTACTTAAAGAGTATAATACAGTGAAATAAATTTGAGAGGAGAAAAAAGAGACAAGGAGGAATAAGGAGATCAAAATTTGGGAAAACACAAAGAGTGTATGCACCTGCGCCAATGCAGCCGATTTTGAGCCATGTCATTTAGGGTCTCTAACCATCGGTTGTTATCATCTCGCGGTCCCCAACCACGTAGTCTACACCTACCGACATGACTCAGACTACTTGTCAGTGACTTCATGGACTTGTGCCATGTTTTGGTCTGGCCGCCCCCAGCTTTCTTCCAACCTACTCCTATACCACTGAACATAGCACGTCGAGGCAGTCGGTCGTTGGGCATACATAACACGTCCCAGCCATCTCAACTGATCAAGTTTCACTACGTCATCAATTGATTTGCCATCCTTACCTAGTACCCGTTTCCTAACAACCGCATTACTTACTCGATGGTCCCAGGATATATGAGCAATGTTTCGAAGACACCTATGATCAAATACTAGTAACCTACGGATATCATCTACTCTTACCGGCCATGTTTCACTGCCATAAAGTAGGACGGAACGAACTGCTGCACAGTAAACACGTCCTTTGGTTGATAGACGGATATCTCGCCTACGCCATAAATGACGCAAGTTGGCAAAAGCTAGTCGAGCCTTCTGTATCCATGCTGAGATTTCGTCACACACTAAACCACAAGGGCTGATCAGACTTCCAAGATAAATGAAGCGATCGACACACTCAACTACTTCACTCCCTATCACTAGTTCGGGTGTCGATGTAACCCAATCCTGAAGCAACATTTTGCATTTCGAGGGAGAGAATCGCATCCCGAACATGCTTGCATTGTTGCTTAGAGTGGTCAGAAGACTCTGCATTTTGTCAGCGTCTTCACCAAATAAAACTATGTCATCTGCATATTCTAAGTCAACAAGTGAACCTCCCGGTAGAACTTCAACTCCTGGAAATCTAGACGGGGAAAGTGTTATCTCTAAAAGTACGTCGACGACAAAGTTGAACAAGAATGGAGAGAGTGGGCAGCCCTGACGAACACCACTTGAGGTAATCAATTCTGACGACAGTTCGCCATAAGCCCTCACTCTATCAGTTGTGTTCGAGTAGAGAGCCTGTATAAGGTTAATGTACTTCTTTGGTACTCCTTTCAGTGACAAACACTGCCATAGAACCTTACGATCAACAGAGTCGAATGCCGCCTTAAGGTCGAGAAATACCATCATTGTGGGGCGTCTGAACGTGTGTCTGTGTTCTAGAACCTGACGTAGTGTGAATATCCGATCTATACAACCACGTCCAGGTCGAAAACCAGCTTGATTTACTCTAGTCTGTTCTTCACGAACTTTAGTTAGGCGTCGAAGTATTATTGAAGCTAATATTTTAGACACTATATTAGTCAAACTGATTCCTCTGTGATTGTCACAAGAGGACTTTTGTCCTTTCTTATAGACTGGCACAATAGGTGATTGAGACCAGTCAGATGGGATTACGTTCAGTTCCCAAATTCTACCTAAGACCTCAGTTAATCTCACTGCTAATACTGGACCACCATCCTTAAAAATCTCAGGAGCGAACCTGTCAGGGCCTGCTGCTCTCCCTCGCTTCAGATTTCCTATGGCTTTTTCAACTTCGTAAAGAGACGGAGGACCTACATTAACTTGCCGTTCAGGTTGACTGGAGATCGTGGGAAACCGAAGTGTGACTGAAGGCCAGTTGAACTGATCCCTGAAGTGTTCTGCCCATCGATCCAATCTCCGGGATTGAGAATGTATAATATGTCCATCTTTCTCTGAGAGTGTTTCGCTAACAGTCGGTTTCCTAATACCGGTTTCCGTAACAAGTCTGAACAATTGTCTGCTATTACCTATTGCCGCTGCCTTTTCCATCTCTCTTGCTTTCGCTACCCACCACTGTTCACGATCATTGCGTAGACTTCTTGTCAGCTTGTGCTTAAGCTGACTCCGCTCATCATTATGCTCAGACCCAGGAGGAATGAGTTTCCGAGCATCTATCAATGTGATAGATGCTGCTGAGATCCAGTGTTCCTCCCTAACCCTACAGTTTACCGTACTAGCAGATATTACTGCTGTTTCCACAGCTTTTCGGATATCATTCCATGCTGCCTCGGGGTAGGCATCACACACATGGCTGCCTAACTGTTTTCCTAGTTGTTCCTGAAATATACTCTTAGCTTGACTATCATTAAGTAGGGCCCTAAGAGGTTTCCTTGCAGCGTCTTTCCTACGTCCAGTAAGACGCAAGCAAATACGCGCTCGCACTAGAACATGATCTGAATCTAGGCATGTGCTCCAGAATGAGCGACAGTCTTCTATCGAGCCCCTCCAGCGGTGGTTGATAGCGATGTGATCTATTTGGGTCCAACGCTGGGACGAATTAGGGGGTCTCCATGTTAAAAGATATTTTTCCTTATGCTTAAAGTTAGTATTTGCAAGAAAGAGGCGGTTATCTGAGCATAGCTGCAACAGACGGTCGCCATTATCTGTTCTTTGAGCCACCGCGTCAAGGTAGCAGCTTCGGTCGGGGATCTGAGCTATGCTAGCATATTTGGACTAAATGGTCGGGGTCCTTGTGATAAACGTGATCAGTAGCTATAGACTAGATGATATGGTTCAAAATCGTCCACAATTATGCTACTTATTTTGTTGATTTTATTCTGTCATTTCAAAGTGGTAAAGCAACTTGGGATAGCACATATTTGCCACAGGCTCCATGTTGGTTATGACTAAATGAATATCATTAATTGTCGTTATTACGTCGAAAATAAACAGTCAGTTTGTCTGACATCCCGCGAGAAAAGCTCGTATCTATCCAAGTATTCAGAAAATTAATTACCAGAATAGGTAATGATAATGATGATCATACAGTGTTAAGCAATACAAGTGTACCATCCTTTAAAAGATTTAGATAACGTACTTCAAGTGTTTATGTTATATCATGTGATAATACAAACTGTTGTTTTGATCAATTGCTGTATAAATACTTTCATATGATAAAAATGATGACCAGAAAATTGATGTGACAAACGATTCCCATAGTCATACTACGGGATAGGATTCGTGGTTTCGTAAAAGCAGGCTAGTATTATCGAATTGGAACGTATGTGCATTAGTCAAAGTTGACTAATGACGAGTATCTGCAGTGGTGGAAGGAACAATTGTATGGTAGTGTCCATATTTGAGAGTCTCAGAAAACTTGTGTTATTCAATTCAAGCCACTCTATGTGGACTTATGCAGTGGTACAAGGACTAGTGAAGAATTATTCCCCGAAGTAACTGCAATAATTAATAGTCGTCAAGAATGTTTACAGTCATTATTTTTGTCCTTTGTTGTGAGCAAACAAATGGACCTAACATGTTTTAACTCCGACCTTGTTGAGATCCACCTTTCTCCCAGAGAATTTGATAGACCTAGTATATCCACATGATGTCGTCTAAGTGAATACAGTGAATAAGTACAGGGTCTTTTAAATGTATTACGCAAACCTTTGAGATTATTTAGAAAACATTCCTAACCTGCTAAGTGCACAATAATGCTTTAGGAATGATTTGTGCCTATACCTATTTTGAAAATTTAATGAAATGGTTAGGTCAGTAGATTACTTTACTTAATACGCAGTCTAGTTGGTTTAAATTGTATCTGCTCGTTTACACTACATGTAACACTGGTGAAGTATCTAACTATCTACAAAATGATCATGTCGTGCAACAGTCCTCCCTATAACTATCAAATTTAAGCACTTAAAAAGGAAATATGGAAATTGCAGGTGTTCGGTTATCGATACATGGGCATCATTGTCAGTGTGTGGTGAAAGCATAAAGTTCGCATTGCAAAAGTGAGGCACGAAAATCTAGACAAACTATAATTCAGTCAGTGTACGTATAAATGACGTTACGACAAAAAAAGTAAGATACACCTAGAAAAAATAATAATTACAAACCGGGTTCCCAAGTAAAAACACTGTTGGAGATTGGATATTAAACCATTTACGAGAAAAAAGTGGAACTATGGCCTCCTTTATGATTTATAATAGCCTTTAAAAACGACCGATTATAAAGTAAGGTGAAGAGAGAATTTAGGAGACAAACAAATATTTGAAGATGAACTTTACAAGAGAACACTGGAGCACTAACCTGTAAATTAATGGAATATTTGGTGGATAAAAGCTGTGACCAAAGACTTTTACGTATGGGATGTGATGGGGGTAAGTTGAGATTCCGAATGAATATTTTTAACTTCGCATGCCCATACTTAGAAGTTTTATCAAACAACGAGCTCAAAACAGCCAACTCACTGACATCGTAAACAACCTTTCCTAGGCTTGAGGAATCCACCAAATCTGTAAAAGGGCTAGAATAAAATTTGTTATAGTAAGACTACTTTATGTAAAACAATCTGACATTAAGAAATACGATATATAAAGTTAGTTATGCGACAATCCACAGACGCTCAAGCTTAAAAAAAGGGTTTCCTTATGGGACCAATGTCCCGTTGATTGAAAAGTCTACTCGATGAGACAATGAGATGACACTGTGAACCTTATTTTCCAGATAGCCATCGAGTGGTATGATCTTTTTATTCTTTTTATTACGATCCTAAAGTTTGTATGGTTTGAAGTTGATGTATTTAATTAGATCCAGCACAAACGCATGCACGTAATCAACACAGAAACTGACAAAAATGTGCATCAGTCTAATTTCCCACATCACATCAGCATAACGGAATATTAAAGTAGTAGAAGCAATGATAGTAGTAGCATCAGTGGCAGCAAAAAATTCAGGTACAGAAAATATGATTCTAAAATAATGAATCCATAGAATAGGAAACAAAATAATTTTTAAAATCAGGATATAGGTTTAACATTAAAGTGCATATATCTCAGCCGTTACTACCTACCTTGTAGCCATCTGGGTAGTGAAAGTTAGCGCAACATATTTAGAACTGAGAGCAAGCCGTTATGTATAAAAAGAATCCGAAATATTACTAACAGTTAACTGAATGATACGTAATTTAAAAAAAACCGGGGCAAATTACCTAGCTAGAAGTATGCCTCCATTGTAGAACCCAGTATAGGTTTTCATAACACTAAACAGCACAAGTTTGGGTACCCGGGTAGTATCACAGCCCTCACACAAATCGAATGAGATTTGTGTGGCGCATATGTATGTGGTGCCCCCTTGTACCAATATCTGTGTCCAAATAAATAATACAAGTAGGAAACCAACTACATGAGAACGATATCACGATGAACAAGAAGAACGGGAGATGAAAAATCAGTCCTAAATTCGAATAACAAATAATTATATCGGGACAACTGTGATCGATTTCTAAGTATGTCATCGTGAGAAATCTAACCACGAAACATGTCTCTCCACAAATCAGGAAGAAATATCTTTTCAACTAGCATCATTTTTCTGCGTGATTACAAATATCAGTTTGGAAATATTCGCACTATAACCAACAACTCATGTTATTGGACTAGCCAGTTGAAAAAGTACAGTCCTATGGTAGAAATGGTTGTCCGATTAAATAGTTAAGGCATGTTGAATGAGAGCTGAAGACAACGCCTGGATACTTAAGAAGTAGATGACCTAAGGTTTTACCCTCAGGTAATAACTAAAATTCGAATGTTTAGGACACGATGTCTCAGGTCCATAATAATGATAATAATAATAAGCGCTGCTGACAGGGTATTTAGTAAACACATAATAACCAATATTTTGAAGTTAAATAGTTACAGAAATATACTTCTAAGCATGTAATCTATTTTCAATTTTTCACCTCAATTATGGTAGTAAGGAAGGGTAATCTACTTCAAGGTGCCTAGAATTTCTAATAACAGCGACTCGCGATTATTTAAACTGTACATTATTTTCCCCAAGTCATTTCTCCTCATAAACTTTGTTTTCACAAACTTCTCAGATACGAAATGAATAACTAATATGTATGTAGCATGTATCAAAAATCCAACAAACTATAAATTGTTTGGCACAAGTCTACTTAACCACATCATGTAAACGACAAGATTTAATACCTTTTCCCCGAAGTAGGTAAAAACTTACGTGACCCTTTCAGGGATGACGCATAAAGCCATTAGACATCCAACATTTTTTTCACTACACGCCAGTGAGCATTGGGAACGCGATGAAATATTTCTAATCCAGAGACGCTTTTTTAAGACTGTAGACGTAGTATTTTAGAGAAGACTACGGTGTTGTGTACTCGGTATTTAATGGTTAATTAGATATTTCACTCAGACAATTCGGTCGGTAAATCCCAAATAAACTTAGTATCTTTACTGTGATTTTTCAACAAATAATTCATCATTCTCACCGAAATTTTTAAATTCAGTATGATGATCTGAGCCCTCACAAGGTCGGTTCAAAATGTAAGATCACTAGATAATTTGTCTGTTTGTGAAAAGTAACTCGTGATTTCAAATAATTCAAGACTTCAGGTTTATGGTATGTTACCCAAGGGACCAATTCATGAAATCATTTAAAAAAATGATCTGAACCATGTACGTAGGTGCAGAATGCTTGGTTGGGGTCCGCAAGATTATTGTTGAAGACTTTCGGTGGCATGACTTATGATCGTGTGCAATACCGTACGTCCTTTCGTTCTTTGTTTTCAATTATTCCCTAGATCTCCCTGTACTTTTTTCCTCTTTTCTATACCTAACGTTTTCTAATACTACAATTACTACGACTACCTCTACCACTCTTGAATTTATCCCGATAATTCTATCTCGTTGTGTTAATGTGACATGGTAACTTGAACCTAGGCATGCGTCAGGTTCTTCGTTGAATATGACTGACTCACCTAACGATGCTAAAACTTTATGTAATCATTGGAAGATAGATGACAGTATATAATTAGTTACCTAAAACAGTCAAAATCTTATTTGATTATTAAAGAACTATGGATAGATTTTATCGGAAAGTCGTGGTTTTATCAACCTTAATCCAAAAGCACTTATAAAAGTTAATGCAGTTACTCGAAATACACATTCCAACTTACGTTTACAAAAGGTCATTTCTTGAAGTTGATTTCTAAATCATCGAAATCTTTACAGTTAGAAGCTAACATGGTTGGGCTTCCAGACTTTGAGCTTACATTTTATACTTATCATAATAAACAGCTTTATATTTCAGTTGAACTACGTTTAAGTATGGAAAACAACACTAACATTTATCTCAGCAACTATAAAAATTAGATTCATCGCACTGATGAGAAGAGACTTTAGTTCTTTCAAATCAGTATTTCAATACATTGCTTGTCCTTATCCAAACTAGTTGGGAAATAAGCTTACATAAACTAACAGCGATCGTGAAATATACTTGTAAAAAGGAGTAAAACTAAGTTCACTCACCAAGTTTATCTTTTATGTACTCAGCAATTACACATTTCTTGTTAGCAGTAATAATGGCACCCGGCAGCTCAAGTTGAAGTAAGTGTAGCAGGATTAGAATATGAAAACAACTAGACAGGTAAATTTTCTGGCAATCAACCCACCGCTATGTTGAGGTGTTCAACATCGACACTTACTACAATTTGGTTGGTCTGTTGTGCAGTACACTCAGAAACCTATGTTTTACCAAAACTAAGCTCCTTTATACATCTCTAATTATGATCTCACCATTCTTCCCAACTTACCCACTTATCGGTCTGAATAGATGTTTAGGTAACATGTAACTTAAACAGATAATGAAGGATGCTTTTACGTGACCAACCATGACGTGATGGATGATAAGTGCAAATTATCGTCAACGTATGGCACAACCCTACTCAGTAGGCTCTACAGAAAATCGAGACCGAAATTCTGTCTACATCCACCCATTGTGAGTCACTTACCTCAATGGTGAGCTCATAATAGTTCATAATGTAACAGATGATTGGTTGTTAGTTAAGCACCGAAGTCCCAAATATTTTTGTGGTTAAAAATCAAAAGAAATACGAGCGTTGGACGAATTAACCAAAATCTAAAATATAAACAAATACAAATGATCTAAAATTGTCTGACATTACAGCTAATACGAAAAACTACGGGTGAAAGTATTCGTGAAAATCCCTTTATAAAAATAGCCTAAGGATAGATATAATTGTTCTACTATACACATTGACTATTATGCCCTCGTCTTTTTTGTTAGGCCCAGACCGAATTGAAACAACGTTGACCTCAGCTGCTGATGACTACCCAATCCATGAAAATACAAGGTATATGGATTATCACATAAGATGTGCATTAATGGTTCAATTACTAGGTTCAAAGCCACTAGATCCCGCAATAAAAACGTGCACCACATTGTTTAGTCTGGATATCTGAATAGTATCGCTATCCCTCACGCAAGTGCAGTATTAATGCTCCGATCTCGTATGGAGAGATGCCAATGATTAAGACACTAGCAGACAGTAAACCTAATGGACGCTATAATATCAGCCAGTCGACAAACAGTTAGTCGAAATATGTAGCATTCATTGAAGCATGTTTGTTATGAAAAATGAAACTATACATATCTGACAGTTATCTGCATATACTAAAACTGATTCAACTTCTTGAGAAGAAAAATGAATACGATTTTTGATACGGTTGGTCCACAATATATGAGTGAACTATGGTCCACTAATTTATCGAGTGAGTTATTTTCTAGCATGTGATTAAGGTAGTAACTAAGTACTAATGGATCTATAAATCGAGTGAAACTGTAGTATTGGCCATTTACTTTAACTTGAGGAACGACATCAATCAAAAGCATGGGGCTGGGTTAGATATATCTAAGCAAGCCTCACTAGTGATGAAGACTCGATGGATAAACACCCCGTCCGCGAGCAGTTCTTCATATTAATATCTCATAGGATTTTCTTAATGCGTGTGAACACCTTGAGACTTCTGAGAATAGGGGACTTATCGGTAAATCGAGTGAAGATCCTGAACTTGCGTTAATTTTGAGAAAATGAGACAGAGGAAACCTTAAATTTGCCCAGGATTAGGATTTTTACTCAAGGTACCAAAGTTGGGAATTTGTGGTCCCTTGACCGAGGTAAAAAATGTTTGTGACCATGTGTCTATTGTGCATGAACTGCAGACGGAATTTATTTTTGATCAGTAAAATTACCCGATGCTGGACTGACTTTTGCAAAACGGAAGCAAAGCGTAACAACCGAGCAAGGATAGCTCAAATACCAGACGACCTTGATAAGTCATCTAAATGGTTCAAATGGTTGTAGACAGAAAAAATAAGCTTTCGCCTAACAGGCTTCCGTGTCTAGAAGCATTGAATCACCAATACCTCCAAGCAGGAACCGTGTATATTAGATTGAAAAGACGGTTCCATAGTATAAACTACAGATGCACGCCCGAAGCATCAAACGTTCTTGAACACCAAGCGGCTCATCTAGTTTTCGAAAAAAGGAAAATCTTCAACATCTTTGGTCGTAGTCCTCACTAATAGAGAAAATAGATCGGTAAACCTAGTCTAATCCTCGCAGCTCATTTTCCAGTGAACATCCAGCTACTCCTTGGAAATATTTACTGATGGAGCCGACACTACTTGATCGGTACCGAACAAATAGTGAAATGCTTTAACGTTAAAGCATTTCAGTCAGTGAACATTCAGGTGGACCAAATGGTTCTGGAAAGAATAGAAGATTTCGCTTAACGATCTTCTATATCTAGTAGCAGTGGGTCACAGATGCCTTGAGGTAAAAACATAGGTATATTTAAATGTAGAAGAGAAGGTAGCGGTAAATAAATCTAAAACAAGTAGTCCCTTTTATAAATTTCGATAATGTAATTAGAAGATGAAGATTATCAGAACTATGTGGTATATTAGCGCAATACACTTCGAACAATCTGAGCACACATATACTAGTTAAGAGCATTTATATATACAAATAAAAAGTCAACTAGACTGGAAATAGGGTATATAAATGCTCTTAACAAGTATATGCGTGATCAGATTGTTCGAAATGTATTGCGCTAATATATAACATAGTTCTGGTAAATAAATCGTCAAAATCAATAGCTCTGTAAGTCTTCGGGATTGAATGCTAACCACATTAGTTTTAGTGGACTCATCTAGCTGAAGGTGCTCGGTCATGTATCCGCACCAGATCACGAGTGGGAACGCCGTGCTCAACAATCCCTCCAATCGCTAGCCAAATTAGATCAGTCGATTCACAATATATTGATATCCTATCAAGTATATCTTCGAACCTACTAGGTTCTGTCTTTTGATTTCACTTGGTGTGTACGATTCATATTAGGTGTTACTGGTTAAAGTATTGTCAAACTCCAAATACCTGTGGCATCTTCAATGTATATATAGTGAAGCCTCATTTCTTCAAATAATCACAATTTGTAAATATGAGATGATTCATAGGTTTCACAGCTCTTAGTAAATTTTGGGTTAAATGAAGTGCTACGACGAGGGATTTCGTTAACGATACAAAAGTGTCAAATTATCCCACATGGAATATAGTTTCATTTGTCTCAGTTATCAACTATATTCTATTCAAATTTTCAAGTAATTCAACATGACTAGATGTGACATTTGTACTAACTGATGATTCCTTTGTACTTGATTGACGGCTGATTGCGAATTCTAAATATTATACGTTCATTTGTGCTCATGTAGTTCAACCTGCATTAAAAAGTACTATTACGGAAATCCTAAGTTAGCCCATTAATTCAAGTATGCTAACGATGATGGTTGATCTATATATATTTCACTGGACAAGTCGATGAGTTATTACGGTATTTAATGCAGATAGCCCAAATGAACATAAATGTATACTTATTTCAGAAAAAGAAATCTGATATTACGACTGCAAAATGAGTTTATTCGATTCTATTGGTTAACTTGTGTTTAGCTGCTTGACTAATTCGAGTGTCTTACACGTGAATCCTCTTACCAGCCCCTTGATTTGGCTGTCTATCTATATATTTATCTATCTACTGACCGTAGTCCACTACCATATTGATCTACCATAGCGACCTGTCTCTAGACCACGAGAGACTGATAACCCCGACTGGTGCTGGTATCATAACCAGTATGGAAAGTCCTCCAGATGTCGCAGAAAAGCCTGAAATTTTCCCAACTCAAAACCGACCGACACAAAACCAATTCGGGAAACTTCCAAGTCGGCACGCGTTAACGGCAACAGTAGCCGGCGAACAGAGCAGTCTGTTATACGTCACAGATGTAATAACGAAAGTTCGCTACCTCGTCAATACTGACGCAGAAGTTAACGTTCTTCCTGCAAATTCCAACGACCGGCTTCGCGAATCAGTTTTAAACTTACAAGCGGCAAACGGAAAGCCTATCGCCACATACGGTGAAAGGTACGTTTACCTTAACGTGAGTTTGTACTGGCATCGGACAATAACCACACAATCCTCAAAGCTGAATATGAGACTATTCGGAAAACAGATATTCAATATTTAACGCGGAGAAATACTTAACGATGGAAAAGGCGGGAACAATGAGTTGAATCAATTGGAGTTGATCGGATGGCATGGCTCGGCCATGTAGGCGTGGCTCCTGCGGAATGTTACCTTTTATCTTTCATTCATATTAAATATACTGTTCTTTCTCTAGCCTAAGCTTGTTCTCCACCATGTATTGGTAGTTGTTACGATACAGTTAATTGGTGTAGACGATGATGTGACTACCACTTAAGATTTTATAGATTAGGCAGTTATATCATGACAAGTCTACAATTTTAGGATTAGGTCTTATATTAGCTCAGTACTAATATCATAGTAGATCATAATTCTACAGGTTTACGCAAACCTACACACTGGATTTTTGCTGTTGCAGATGTTTCAATGCCTATCAGTGGCATAGACCTCCTACAACACCATAATCTAATCATCGATACACGCAAACGGATGCTAGTAGACGTAAATACTAATTTATCTGTTTGCGTAACTTCTTTTTCTGGTTGCAGATTATCCCCAGTCACAATTAGGCATACGATAGACCCACTTTATCAACCATTACTCGGTAAGTATCCTGGGATTCATCAAACGCAACCGAAACTACCGTGTGTAACCAGCAACGTTAAATATCACATCACGACTGCAGGACCACATGTATTCTCTAAAGCACGACGACTAGCCCCTGAAAAGCTAAGGTTGGCGAAAAACGAGTTCAATCACATGATAGACTTAGGTATCATAAGACCGTCAAACAGCCCATATGCATCTCCGTTGCACATGGTCCCTAAAAAGGACAGCAACGATTGGCGTCCAACTGGTGACTATCGGCGATTGAACGCGAAAACCATTCCCGATCGTTACCCGTTGCCTCACATTCACGATTTGACAGCTACCTTGAAAGGTACAACTGTCTTTTCGAAAATCGACTTGGTTAAAGCCTATAACCAAATCCCCATGTCTACGGACGATATTACGAAAACAGCTATCGTAGCTCCCTTCGGACTCTTCGGATTTTCGCGAATGCCTTTCGGTCTAAGAAACGCTGCACAAACTTTCCAAAAGTCCACAGACCACGTTTTTCGAGGTCTCAACTTCGTACACGCGTATGTTGACGACTGTCTGATAGAAAGTCCGAACAGAGAATCGCATCTCCGGCATTTGAATCTTGTTTACGACCGACTTCAAAAACATAGCATTACTGTAAACAGTCAGAAATGCCAAACCGGAGCTGACTCATCAGACTTCCCAGGACACAATATAGATGAGTAAGTCATGCAACCCCTTAGAACCAAGGTGGCGGCCACCCTGGTTTATCCAGGATCGACCACCATTAGGCGGTTGCGCACATTTAACGGCCTTGTGCAATTCTAACCTTAAGTTCATAATCCCATTTAACGTTAGTGAAAACGACCCACCTCTACCAACAGTCTTAGGACAGAACAACCTATTCTAGTAACTAGATGTATAAACATTGATGGTATTTCCGCCTTTTCAATCTGTAACCAAGGGGGCTACCAGACTACTGACAAAATTAGACGATCAGAATTAGTACTTCATAAGTCCTGCTTTTTAGCCAAAACAAAGTTCTCAAGTGCTATGGTCAAGGGAACATTGGCTTGTGAGTGATACCTTCTCCAACGCTTAAAGCACAAATATTACAAAAGGAGTGCTCCATAGTAACTCACGATGTTCCCAAAAAGCGTCCTGCTGGATTCCTTTGGACACAAGCCGGTGTATATAGATTTAAGAAAAGATAGCCCCGATAAAGATATACGCCAAACATGTTAAAGGACGCCAAAAAACCCCACATTATACGTTCAGATGTACTCACCCCGTGGAACACCAGTTTGTCGTATGTAACGTATGACCTGACACAAAATTCTAGGTAGGAAAAATGATAACAGTATAACATAAAAACACATGAAGCCCAGAAGACATGATTCAAAATTATAATATGATTCAGTGTAATGGAAAAAACTATGAAGAGATTTAGAAATCTGGGATATATGGGAAGAAAAAGTGAACATACCTGTTCCATCGCGTCTGGTTTTGAGTCGTTTTACCAGAAGTTCCCAATCATTGGCCACGAAAACTAAGCGATACCTAGCTGAGTGGTCTGAGACTTCAGAAACGGTTCAGTACGATAAGTGGTAGTCTCATGGACTGATCCTATGTTATGATTTTGTCACCTATATCTTTATTTCTATATACCACCTCGCCATCGCCCATAAAACTCCGAGGCAGGTGGTGGCTGGACTAGCGTGATACATATCCTGATCAGACTAACAGATGGAGAACTGTAGTGACATTGGATCGTAACCACGATCCTCAAAGCTGAACACAACGCAACTGGAAAAAGAGATATCCGACATTTAACACCGGGGAAAACCTAAAAATGAAGAAGGCGAGAAGAATTAATTCAGTGAATCCAAATTAATCAAATGGCATGACTCGGTCTTGCAGGCGTGGTCATTCTTGTGTAGCCCACTTCTTCTATTCAAATTAAATATGTTTTTTCGTCTTCAGCCTGAATGTGTCCTCCATCACATATTGAAGGTTGTTACCATATGATCAGTCGCTGTAAACAATTATGTGACTTACACGTTAGATCTTATAGACTAAGCAGTTACATCATGAAAAATCTGCAATTTTAGGATTATGTCTATTATTAGAGCTGTACTAATATCACAGTAGATCATAATTCTAAAAACTAACTCTCAACACTGATAAATTAACTAAGCGTATGAGGTAAGTAAAACAT